GTAAAAGCTTACTTTTACTTATAGGTAAAAACTATCCTTCCCAGCTGGAGCTTTATCACACCCTCCAGAAAAAAAAATATTTGTTTTACATCATAGAGGAAAAAGAGTTACTGAAACTTTGGTGTTCCTGAAGACATCCAATCCTTTAACACCAGCGAAAAAGAAAAAGTGTCAGAAGCAAAAATCTAACTTCTATATTCAGCATTTACATTGGCTCAAAAGTTGAAAAGGAAACAACAAATTGTATCCATTGTCAGAATAATTGCAGATATCCACAGGATAATGATTTATCCCAATAATTATCTACATGACAATAATTGAAATGAGGAACATTAATAAGTTCCTCATTATTGCATTTTAACAGGTATCCCATTGGTATACTTGTGCTTGTATCCCATATGAAGGCAAGCTGGTTTTCTGGAGTTGCCTGTGTAAATTTAAGACTAAATTTGAAAGCTTTACATGCAAAACTATTCAGAAAACTTCAGAAATGTCGATTTAAAATAATAATAACTAAAAAAAATACTGCGAATTGCCTAAGTGGAATTCATTATGTGTGTGATAAAAGCCACCTCCATATCTCTAATGTCACCCTAAATTCTTCAGTGCATAGCTAAGAAACATGCACAGGGACTGAACTCTTATTTGAATGTAGCTGGCTATTAGCAATACAGCTGCTACTTTTACTTTGTCCCTCAACTTAAAATGATCCATAATTCTTTTAGAGCAAGCAGGTAGGGCATCTCAGACCATCAAGGGGAGCAAAAAGCCACATGCCACCTTCCCTGCCAGGGACAGAGAGCTGCTAGTAGCCAGGAGACAAGGTTAAAACGGGAAATTCAAGAAAGCACCTACTCTCCAACCCCTCAATGGAAATCTGTTACTGGTAGGGAAGTGATACAGCATGATGGTTACAAATATGTGGCATGATAATTTATTTGATTTCCCATTGCGTTCACTTCAAAGGTGCCAGCAGCTGCCATTGTCACCAGTGAAATCAATGTAAAACAGCAAGATAGACAGCTTGGTTTGCTCTCATGACTAGCTCAGCCACAAGGTAAGCAAAGCAGCAATTACATCAACTGAAAGAGTAATTACATCAACTGAGAGAGCAGAACAGAAGTGTAGGAACTGCACAAATCAAGCAGCAAACTGTTTGAACACTGAAATGTCATACTCTGCCCTGCCAAGCCAGAGACAAGTTTGATCCTGCCTTGAAGATAAAGACAAAACCAGCAAGATTAACAACATTAAAACAAAAACAACAAGCCAGCAATTAAAGAGCTTGGTAAACTTCCTATTACACCTATGCAAATAGCCACAGACTATGAAATCAAGCATTCCAGGAGACCTAGAAAAATAACACTTCTATTACAGGATGCCACAACAACAGTAGCAGAGTAGTGCACTCAGGGAGGAATGAGCTGTTGAAATAAAAACTTCTTGGATCAAATTTTATCAGCTATAATGCTATCCAAAATCACCTGACCAGAAACTTTCTCTCAGCAATTCAGTTTGGCTGCCCATTCAAAGTGTGACTGTGGGCCTACTCTAGTTTCCAGAGATCATTTAAAAAAAAAAAAAAAAACAAAAAAAAACACCACCCAGAAAAACAAACCCTGTCCAAGCCCTGCAATTAAGTGTTAACTGGCGTCACTGAAAGCATCAGTCACTCTCACAGACGCTCTTGAGGAAACACAGAACAGAGGACGAGGTGTTCCCTCCCTCCTCTTTCAGATTAGGGCTAAGAAAACACCTGAACAGATTTTTCAACCCCTAAAGTGTGTTTTCTCCAGTGACCATACACAGCAGGAAATCCACAGGTATGGATTTCCTTCCTGTCATTATAAACTTCTGTCTCTTTTTCCTGCTGTTTCCCTGTGCTGGGACAGGTGACATTCTGAAGCACACCCTCCCTACCCATCACACTGAGGCACACACAAGTTGCTCCAGCCTCGACAGAAGCTCACACAAAACTCCTGGAATAAAACATTATTTTGGTTCTCCAGGAGCTTCCATACAGAGCTGTCCCTGTGGGAACATCCCATGGCAGACTGCTCTAGAGATGCTGACACTTAAATCCTGGGCTTCCCAAACCTGAATGTTCTCTCCAAAACTGCAGACATTGGAGAATTTGAGCTGCTATACCAACAGGAGATAGAAGAGTTTTGGTGCCATACTGACCAGGTTTCTATAGCAATCTCTAACTAAACCACTGCTAGAAATTTTGTTTTAATTAATTGTTTGCATTTTTAACCCTAGCACTAGTACCAAAGTTACATTATTTATACAAAAGAGATATTGAAATAAGTAACACACTATAATTCTATTTCTAGACACACTTTCTAGGTTGGATGAAGTCGTTTCCTTCTAAACAGTCAAGAATTTTCCTTTGCTCAGGATCACAAAACACAAGCCAAAAGTCTTTCCCAGTGGTCTTACCCACAATCAATTCTTCTGAAGAGTCCATGGCCCAACAGAGATTTACACATCAAAGAAAACTAAGTATGTACATTTCCACAAATCAATGGGGCTTCTTTACCCCCCACGGCAGAACAAACACCACAAATTGCAATTTGTCTCATAGCACCTCCTCATTAGAGCTCCTAAGCAGCTAAAAAAGAACCACCTTGAAGATTGCAAGGTCCCTGTGGAAGTGCAGCAACCTCCCTGGACACGCCTGAACCCTGCTTTTAGCAGTGTGCTACTGCTGCCACAGCAGGCAACCCTAGAATTAGCTGCAAGCTCCAAGGATGGGATGATGCCAGCTCCATCCCAACGTCTGTCAGTCCTCAGTCTGTCCTGACTGACGGTAGGCAAGCATAGTGAATAGCCCAGGCCTGGCTCCAAGCCACCCTGCCAGCTCCACTCATGATCTATTAACCAGCAACCAAGGACCAGCTCCACGTTTGCAGAGTGGACAACTGGACTGGCACAAATCCTCGGCACAAGGCACTCCACACTAAAGGGGATGAAAAGTGGTTTAGGCTTGCCAGAGATGTCATCAGGCAGCCTACATAGCACTACTTATTTTATACACCTACAATACTGCCCAAATATCTCTTGAAGATGGTGAGAAGTTTACCAATTTTAGCAGAGCCAAAAGTGACTCTCCTGATTCTGCAGGTCCCATAAGCATCTAGAGACAGGTGGGAAGGGAAGCAAGGTCACCATAAAGTAAGATAGTCTTATATTTCTACAGTTAGTAAATGATGCATCAGTAATAGATACCATAATAAAAATTATTTCCTAATGCTTTATTTTTAAAGATATTTTGTCCACCTAGCAGGTGTCAAAAGACAAAACTCTCACACAGAAGCAATATAAAATAAATAAAATTTGTGAAGCGATCATATCTGTCCAAAACAAATTAGGCTTACACTTTTCTTGACTAGGGACTCTATCCAAACTTGCAAGGAAAAATCTATTACTATCAAGCAATTGAGATCTCATGACAAAAATTACAAGTCAATATTTTCTCACTTCGGTCTCCTGCTCTTAAAGTAGATTTCTAGTGTTTGGTCTCCAGAAGTCCTTGCTGTGAGGTGGGAACCTGACCATACAATTATTGTCATTAGTGATGAATGATGTTTATGAAACACTTTTCTACCAAGTTCAGACTCTCATAATACACACAAGAATGACTCTTGACCATTTCTGTTCTGAAAAACCATCTCTCAAGAGAGACAGAAAAATGTGGAGATCAATATATTAGTATGTACTTGATTCAAGGTGTAACCAAGTACATACACTGACTTTGAGATTGTCAGACAAACTTTAACTCACAGGTTTTATTTTTAAAATACTCCATCATTTGACAGCAAATTTCATGCAGCTGAACAAAATTAGCAGAGCAGAAAGTTCTTTTAGCAAGGTACTGTGTCAATTTAGCAAGCAATTGGGCTTGCTAAACAAAACAGCAAAGAAGAAAACCTGAATTTAACCAGAGTTCAGAACCAAGAGGTCCAAAAACTATCAGAAGCCTATTTGATCTATTATTGGGCTGTTTGCATTTCAGACTATGCTTCTAGGAGAGAGAGAGATGAAGCATTAAGGCAAAAAATTAGTCAGTTAACTAAATAATTTCCAAGATATTTTATACACATAATTTTCATTTAACCTAAAAGTTAACACTGAAGGAAGATGCATAAATGTATGGCCCTGTTTAGACACTTATCTGACCACTGACTGACCAAGTCAGTCTCCTGAATTTGTGGCTGAAGAGTCAGGTGCACCCTCACAACCAGCTGGAAACACTTCTCCTTCCCAGTGTCACACTGAGGGGAGGAACAGCTGGCTCCAGCCTCACCTCCAAAACTGGCAAGATGAAATGATCACTGCAACATGCAGACCTTGAAAACCACGTACCTTACTGTCAGCCACACCACAAGGTACAAAGAGCACCTTGCCCTATTATTCATCCTAATTTCAGTCTTAAAGTTAGCATTATACATTTAGGGTGCTGCGGCTGTCCTCTGTTGAATGGGCTCATTTCCAGCCAGCACAGAGAAGACCAAGTTTTAATTTTCCTAGTTACCATTCAGACATATCCAACATGTTTCTGCATTCATCATGAAAGGGGTTTTTTTTCTGCATTGCACAAATATAAATTAGGAGTTTCAGATATCAAAAGTAACACTATATGATTCAAACATATTTAACACCTCGAGGCTTCCAGGAGGCATCTGGACTTAGAAAGAAACAGATTTCCTTGAAAACAGACTGCTTGCTTCCCAGTGCTGTAACACTGGCTACTGCTAACAGTTAGGGAGGAATGTTCTGAAATGCACATACCAGGGCCTAAGTGCATGAAAGAAAAAGAGTAACTCATTTTAACTTCACTGTAAAATATGGCTGAGCTAATAAAAATTCATTTTGGGGGAGTGGTGGTGTGATTTTCATTTTGGTTGCTTTAATCAACAGATCTTTTGAGGAGAGAGACAGCTGGTACCATCTGTTCCCGGACAGAATGAAAACTAAAATTTCTTTGCTGTACTTACATGTGAGGACTGAGTTCATAAAAGTTTCGGTTTCTGTATTCTTCCACTTTCTCTGGAGTATAAATGGGTAGAGATCTGTAGGGGTTTATTGATATCACCACGCTGCCAATGTATGTCTGTTGAAGGAAAAGAGAAAATTATTGCAGGGTTTTGGTTTTTTTTAACATACTTTTGCTGCTTATATATTACTTGCCCATTTAATATTTTGTGGAAACAAACAAACAAAAAAAAAAAGCCTAATTGTAGCAATTTTTAATATATTCATACTTTGCAAAACACCTTTTAGGTACTCTCTCTGTTGGGTACCAGGTAGCTGTTTCTGCATAACTGAAAGCCTCTTATGATGATTTTCTACAAGAAAGCCCAATTTCTGTGACTAATTCAGCTGAGAGAGGGAAAGGCAGAAGGACACAGATGTTCACGAAGAACTGACTCCATCTGCATGGCAAATGTCACACGAGCTTTGCTTCAGCCCTTGGCTACTCACACCAAACCCCAAAAGGCAAGGCTGGCGTTGGACTGTGCCCCTCTTCCCAAGGAGGAACTTTATGTCACCTTGTCAAAGCCTCAGGCACAGAAGAAACCTGAAGGGGAACAGCCTTGGACAGGTTTCTGTCAAAGGAGAGATTTACTGTCAGGGTTCAAGCCAGACTAAGTCCTGCCACGACTCCTCAGCAGACATGAAATGCGATTTTTATTTACAGATTCTAAACGTACTCACCACCACCCTTGGGAAGCAAAGGGAGAAATGTGTTGTTTCACTCTGTTAGATCCCATGCACTGCTGGCCTCAAGGAAGACCAATTCTGTACACCATTAACTTGAATCCTTAAGCCTACTGTCAGATATCCCACAGCTCCAAGGGCTGCAATCAAATACACTGAGCGGCAAAAAATGCCAAAACCCCATTCCATCCTGCCTGCAGATACTGACCAAACACTAATAAAAAAAACCCCAAGTGTCTGGTATCTCTTTCCACAACTGTGAAACAAATAAATAACACCTCATGAAACATGGTTTTCCAGTAACCAGCTCTCCCTGGGAGGTGTATATGCTCTACATAAAAGCCACAGGTTCCCATTACTTGGATTACATTTGCAGTAACTACAGAAGAAAAAAAAACACAATATTTTTTTTAAATGTGCTATGATTCTAAAGGGCTTTCGCTCAGCACCTGACAATCAGTACTTGGATTTTTTCCCCACAAAATTTCTTAGAGAAAAGACTGTAATTTGCACTTTGAAATGGGAGGAGAGGCATGAGGAGCTCAAGTGACTGACCAGCATGTTCAGTAGAACACCAAATATTATGGCCAGGGCTGAAATGACAAATGAAAAATATTAATTGTTGCAACCCTTCCAGATGTAACTTCCATGCCTAAAGCAATTTCCTGCTAAATGCTACTAAATCTGGTCCTAAGCAGAAAGTGAGGAGAGGAATATCTCCCATTTTCCATTGCACACATAAGCACAGGCAAGCTGTGAGCTCACATGGCATCTTCTGTCCCAAACTGAGTGGAACAAACCAGACTGCAGTGATAAAACGAGTGGCATGAGGCCTCCAGAGACACTCACAGCTCATCCCTGTAGTGTTTTCTACTCCTGAGATGGATCAGAAGCAGCCAAAAAATTAAGAGTTTTGCTCCTTTCAAGCACACACTGCAGTGTGTGCTTATGTAAATGTTCTTCAAATAAAGAAAAAATTGTTCTGGTTTTGTGGTCATCCTCCCCCTATGGAGGAAATAATTTTCCAACTACGTCTAATCTCTTTGGCTGAACAAGATGGAAATGCTAAAATTGCCTTTCTACAGTGTTTACTTTGCTCTCTCTCAACACATGTGGCCTTGGCAATTTGGAAGTCTACAGATTCCTGGCAATACTAACAGATGCCCAAGAGTAAGAAGCTTTCTAGTCTTCCCAAGTGCACAGATAGCCCAGTTAGGACTCCTCTCTGATAAAACAATAATAAATTGTTTCCTTCTAAATCTTAGGAATTTGTGAGCTCAGCCTGTTGTGAAACCAGTGTTGTAAAGTATCAGCAGAAAATAGAAGAAGGCCAAACCTCGAACATTATATTTTGAAACATGAATTCTTTGGAACACAAAGACTTGTCCCTATTCTGCTATCATAATAGAATACAATTTAAGTGCTAAGTTCCTTGAAGTACCCTGGGACATGAAGATAAAGAAAGATTACTGAAAGTGAAAACCTTGATTTTTAATTTTGAATACAGACATTTAAATGAGATTTATTTAGAACCATGTCTTCATAGCTAAGTGCTTCTTAGACAATGTATTTTGGGAATTCAAGTCAGCTCTTTGCTGCCAGATACGAACAAATACGGGCCATTTCCTAAAATACTAATATTTCAAAAGGTCAAATGGCTATAATGAAACAAAGACATACTCCAATCCATTTTAAACACCAAGCCAAAGTGTGCCAAGAAGTCATTGGGTTTGTTGCAAAGCTGCTTACAAGAACTAATACATTTCCTCTTCTGAAAATGCCAATCTCTCAAAGCTGATGCCTAATAGCTACTTGCTACTGGTGGTCTGTGAGATTCCACATAACAGGGATAAGCAGATCCGGAAAATAGCTTTCCCACATAACATCTGTCTTCCCACCAGAGCTCTATTATAAACAAACAAAATAAATGGCTTAAATCCTTGAGCGAGCGACAGGCACAGAAACATTCCAGTGCTGAAAGCAGAACGCCCAAGAGTAGTGGGAGACCATACCACAGCACCCCAGGGACAACAGAAATTCTTGAATTTCCCTGCTTAAGGACAAAAATGAAAGAAAAGTGGCCTCATGATGATGGATGCACAGAATACAGTCAGGAGATTTGATTTCTTTCTCGGTTTGACATGGTATCCTTATGCAAGTTTGGATGAGATCTGCTGTCTCCTGAAGTTTTACTAACTAGACTCCTGATAATACTCCTTCCTCCCAATTTCTACTTTATTGCAACTCGCAGAGGTGAATTCTGTGTTTGCTCAGAACACAAATCAAAAGGACCCCCCACTCAGTGCATCTCTCATGTGGCATGGCAACACTGCTTCAGAACAGAGCATTCAAATTTCTGTCAGCTTAAATGACAATACACTCTGCATTCTCCACCAAAACAACACAATCAACTCATTCCTGTTCAGACAAGGGGTTAACACCTCAAGCAGGAAGAAAATTCCAAATTCCAATTCAACTGGAAAAGCTGTTAGTGTTTATTACACATCACTTCTAAATACCAGTCCAGATGCAATGACCAAGGGCCTTTGACGTCCCACTTCCTCCCCCTAGGACTGGAGGCCAATGCAACCACTTGGGGCACGATATTAATGCTACTTCAAGTTTACAGGGACCATGCAAGGCTTTCTGAGTCTTTCTCACCCAAGCAGACAGGCTTAAGAAAAAGCCTTATATAGCAAGATGACAACAAGGCTCTTGCTGTTGTGAGAAACGTACAAGCAGCAGCCTCTTCCCAGTCAAAGGCTAGGGAAACTATAAAACTGGACATTTCCAGCTGAGAGGCTGCAGAAACCTTTCAGTGAGCCCAGGTTTGCACCAGGGTGCACAGTGGAATCTGATACACAGGATAGAGGCAGTGCAGGTCAACCCAAGAAGGGCATCCTTTAGAAGAGCACTAGTGCAACTAACGGGAGAATATTCCACACCCTGTATACAGTATATTAATAAAGTTGCTTTTCCTCCTGTCAAAGTTAGACTTGCAATGCCCCAAGGGCCAGAAGAGAGGAGATTGCATCTGCAGAAGCCAGGGAACACGACTGACACCAGCTGAGGCAGCAGCACAGAAGGTGTCCAGCTGGGGCTGTCGTAAAAGCCTGCTCTGTATCCTTAAAAGCTTTTCTGGATCTGTGGCAATCTCTGCAAAGCAACCTTCTGCAGAGGTTAAAATCATTAAACATCTACACAGATTTGTTGCAAGCCTTTTGGAATTGTAGCCTACATCCTTTTTGTCAACTCTGCTAAAAACAAACCTTCTGCTTCTTACTTCTTGCAGCCTGTAACAGCCCAGAGAAATTGCTGCTGCACACAAGTCAGTCCTGCTGTAAAATGCCCCAAGTGCAAATGTACCTGGCAAGTGCACTAATTCCCACTAATTCTATTTATTTAATTTGTTAAACTTTGGAGCACAGAAATAGGAAACAAATTTTAGTAAAATAAGATTGCTAGTTTGGATTCTTCTATTTATGCAGACCGATTTTAATACTCCAGATATATATAATGCACATTCCTTTTGTAATGGCTGTGCTCAAATCATTATTTGGTTCCTAGATCTTTGAAGAGTTTCAGATCATGCCACCAAAACAATTCATTGAAATGGGAGACAAAGGATCAAAGAAAAGTGTGACTAGGTTTTATTGGAATTAATCCAAAACCAAGCCTTGCCCAGCACTGTTTTCATTGTGGTTGGGGAGGGCTGTGTTTTGGTTTTCTGGGTTTTTTTTCATGTGACACATGAAAATAATTTTTCAAATATAATACTCATTTTCCTTTGTATTTGTCTGACTTACTGTATTTGCCTGATCCAGTTCTGGATCTTGCCAACTCATAAGCACGTGTGCTACTGCATGTTCAGAACAGCTGAGGCCAAGGAGAAGGCAGAGGAAGCCTGTACTTACATGTTCTAAGTGTTTTGAGCTGTCTCAACCTCCAACAGAGCCGGGCAAATTTAAAACTACAACTTTACTCTATAATGAAATTTCCCATTTTAATAAGTGTTACCAGCTAGATCAGTACTGTATTAAAATATCACCTATTATTTGAACAATCATGTTCTGAGCTCAAATTCATTTTACATTGTGCTTGCCCATAACAAAATAGCTAAATGCACTGTGTCTGTGGTCTATTGCTTTTTTTCAGGCGGGAAGCACAAAGTTGCAAGAGACAATGTTTGAAAAGAGTAAGGAAGAGAGCAACATCAAGACTAAAAGCAAAACCACCTGAGCCCATTGCTGTTTCTGGGGCTTTGATTTACTCCATTCCTGCGTATGGCCACGGAGGTGCTTGTATTGCTTGGTGGAGAGGGACGGGCAGGGTACTTGAAAAAGACAAACAAACAAACAGACATGGATCTCATCCTGTAACACTCCAGGGTTT